TAATAGGGACTATATTTATTTGTTTTAAGGACTAAAATTGGGCACGAAAACATAATAGGGACTACATTTTTTTGTTTTAAGGACTAAAATTGGGGAACAAAAAATAATAGGGACTCAGTCTGGATACCCCCTAAACATGGAGGACCAAAAGTGGACTTTACCCAATTTTAAAATTAATTATACGATTCAACAATTGATCCGGTGACCAGACGGTTGAACCGATGACCCCGAGACCTGGTTGGGTCGATTACCGAGCCGAGCTTAAAAACTATGGTTTCAATGATCCTACATGAAAATTTTAGGAAACTGTGATATACATTTTTTTTTTTTTAAAGTAGACAAAAACACAAACTACCCTCTTTTACCCCCACGAGACCAACCTACAAATCATCACCAAACTTACAAATCATCAGGGTAAAAGAAAACATGCAAATAAAAAGCAACTGATATTAAAAGCAAAGAAGAAAGAATGACTACAAGATAACATGACAGCTGAAGAAAATGGAACAATTTTTTTTAACAAAAACAAATAAGTTGCCAGCAAAAGAAAAGTATGGTGGCATATAGCCAGTAGTAGATTCAAGAAGGAAAAGAATAACTAGTCGCAACATGCCCAGACAGACAAATAAGTATGTGAATCGAAATATAAAACAAATCATTTCAAAAGGAAGAAGGTTAACCATTGATCCCGGCAGCATCCCAATAATGATAGCAACCGGAATTATGATTTAACTGAAACGAAACAAACCAATTCACTCAATCTTGATTATTACATGACTGGCGTCAAGTCACCAAACCATGAGACAATCTTCTTTGTCGAAGAAAAGTACTATATCTCAGTGCCAAAAAATAAGAGGTTTCAGTTGCTCATGATTAACAATTGCAAGTTACAAACAAGACCAGACTATCGCAGGACAAAAGTATTCTTGCAAATTTCATCTGAGAAAATCAAATATCATAGGGTGGACATAATCATCAGTGTCACCAAATATCTACTAGAAATGCCTTCTTGATTATTCATAACATATCAAGTCATCAAACCATGAGACCAAAAGTAGACAAAAGCACTAGCAAACGTGATAAAGTTTCAATGATCTAACATGAAAAATCTAGGAAATTGTGATATACATTTTTAAAAGTAGACAAAACACCAACTACCCTCTTTTACCCTACGAGACCAACTTACACATCATCACCAACTTACAAATCATTAATAAGGTAAAAGAAAACATGAAAATAAAAGAGCAGCTGATTTTAAAAGCAAAGAAGAAAGAATGACTCCAAAATAACATGGTTGCAGTGAAAAAAGGAAATAACAAACAAGAAACGGTACCAAAGCAGTCCAACAACAAGAGTAAAGGACCATGAGTGCAAAGCATATACTAAAACGATTCACCCCAACCACATATATAACATGACACTAGTTGAATAAACAAAGAACATGGAAAACCAAAACCATACGCTCTATGGGCTCTCATTTATTTCGACATGCTGATCAGGAGTCCTCAACATAAGGGTAGACCACCAGACGCAAACTCTGGTCGTGGATATTGAGATCATGAAAGCGGCATCGCGTAGGTCCCTCTCCAAAACAGAGAAGCAGTAGGTCACCTTTGCAGTCCTGAAGCAACATATTATCATTTTTGTAGATGCCCACCACCCTATGAATATTAGGAGCACCAGAGAAAGTAGCAACGGAATGTTTACACCAGATACAACCAGTCCACACCCAAATCTCGAAACTAAAAAACTCAGTCTCTGTAGCACCAAGACATTCCTTCCCACAGTTGAAAACAACAGCACCAAGTGACCCATGAAACTCGACAATAGTAAGACAACCAGGAATGTTTTCGAGAGAAATCATACGGCTGTTGGGTAAAGGGATGAGGTCGGCAAGAAACTTCTCATTAGCAAAGTCGAAAGCAATAATAACAAATTCACCGTCAGGATGTCGAGCTACCCAGTAATAAAATCCTTTTATGTGAAGCGAAGGGTTCTGACAGGGTTGCAAATCCGCATGAGGGTACGGAATTTCCTTCCAGGAAAAAGTTGCGAGGGAGAACATGTCCACTTGGATATGGTCTCGAGAATCACGATATTTCCATACGTTAAATCTGACTACCTTGTAGTCTCGAGATACATGATCCAACCCGATACCGTAAGCCCCTATGGACGCAGATACAGGGGAAGGCAAGCGCGGATTCACCTGAAACATAGGAAGGGTTATGAACCCATCTTTTGTAGGGTTCCACAGAAGATCCCATGAACTTCCACCTGCATCGTTAAATACCCACAGCATCCATTTATTGCAGCTCGCTGCAACATCATAAAAGGCACCCTTAGAAAGTTTTTACGCAAGAGTAGAGAGAAGTTAGGAAGGTTGTCTTCTAACACGCTCTCTATAGAGATAACAGAGTACTCGCAGGACCCAGAGAAAAGACACCGCACCATAAGCATAAGATTGTCGCTTTTATGCTGAGTAAGACTATCTCCAGGTGCAGGAACACGAGAGAGAATACGAGATAAGAATTCCGGAGAGGATATGACTTTGGATTCGGGCTCGACAAGTAGATTTAAAATATCCACTTCAACATATGGGATGATCAACAGAGCCAAACCATCGCCACGGATACCAGTATTCCTCGACTTGCGTAATTTCAAATTGTAAACCCACAAGTCACCACCTTTGGAGTCGTGAAGAAACACATTATTATTCTCGTAGAGACCCACTACATGATCAGCGGCAACATCAAGAGGGACTTCAATATTATAACGGCAAATCCAGCTGCCCTCATTCCATACCCAAATCTCAAAAACAAAAGGCTTTCTCCTTTCATCATCATCATCAGCCACACCGCTTTCTCCATTCTTCCATCGATGAAAATCGAAAACAACAGTTGCGAGTGACCCATCAAACTCGACAAGATGAACACAACCAAGTATGTCGTCCCCCATCCTAGAGCTCTTGGGCAGAGGGATGGGATCAGCAGGAAACTTATCACCAGCAAAGTCGAATGAAATAATATGAACATCACCCTCGCCATGGCAAGCTAGCCAATAATAAAATCCATTTATGTGTAGCGAAGGGCGTTGACAGAGTCGGAACTTCAGATCATGAGGATAGGGAATCTGCTTCCACGTCCGAGTTACAAGTGAGAAGAGTTCCGCGTGGGGTTCTGTGTGGATTTTCACGTCGGGACGATAACACTCCAACACCCGACATCTGACCACCTTATAGTCCTCAGATACAGGGTCAAACCCGATACCGAAAACCTCCATGGATGCATAACCTCGGGTCGTCTTGTCCTCAGTATATGGAAGGGCTTCATACAGATCAGTCGTAGGGTTCCACAGGAACTCCCGCTTATGCCCAGCAAATCTTATATATCTCAGCAGCACCCATGTGTTGCAACTCGCTAAAACACAAAAATCGGAATTCACATATGAAGGATCATAGTTTTGAGCTGTGAGCCGGGAAAAGTTAGGAAGCTTATCATCTCGCCGCACTTTGAAGAAGTCATCTTCCATTGAGAATACACAGTATTTGCGGGTCCCCTTGAGTACATGCTCCACCATCAGCATAAGATTGTTGCTCTTGTTGTTGTTTAGCAGCGGATGTGCCAAAATGCCTAGGAGCGGATGTGCCGGGTTTTGGCAAGCAGATGCACTGAATTTATATTTAGATTTGTTTGAGACAATTTCCGTTGATACAACATACGGGAATACCTTGGCAGACCTCCTTTCCCCACGAATACCGAGTTTTATCAATTTAGTGGACAATTTAGTGGACTCGTAATTGGAAAGCAGTAGATCGTCTTGAGAGTTCTGAAGGAGCACCAAATTGTTGTTGTAAGTCCAACAATCGTCCAGCAATCATCATATGGAAACGGGGCAATAGCATAAAGAGACCAGTTCTCCTCTTTCTGCCTTACCCAAATCCGAAAACAATCACCACTTCTCTTCACCACGGCGAGCCCCCCATCAAACTCGGACAGAACAAAACAATCTCCAACTTCTTCCGGCATATCAATCAGAGGAAGAAACTTCTCCTCAGTAAAGTCGAACGAGATAACCGTGTAACAATAATCATCATCAGAAGCTAGCCAATAATATACTCCATTAATGTGAATGGAAGGTATCTGAAAGGGTTCCATGGTGGTATCATGAGGATACGTAATTTCCTTCCAGGAACCCGTTTGGAGTGACAACAGCTCAACACAGATTCGTATGCGACCATCATCATTCTTCGTGCGAGATCTGAGCAACTTATATTCCCCATAAGCAACACCCAACCCGTACGCCCAAAATCCCATCGAACGTGACGAACCTAAAGGGAAATTGCGAAGGCACTGGAGGTTGTCGGTTGTGGGGTCCCACAGAGCCTCCCATATGAGATCACCAAGTCTATGAAATGACAACAACATACATGAACCGCAACTCGCTAGAACGCGAATCTTGAAATGACGATAATAGTGATCAGACTTTGTAGCTATGAGTCGAGACAAGCCAGGAAGAGTATCGACGCGCAGAACTTCCGCCGAGTTGTTTTTGATTGATATAACAAAGCAATCCTTGACTCCTTCACATGTATGCTGCACCATAAGCATCAAATTCTTCTTGTTGCTATGCTCCGCCGTGTGTGGCAGAGGATCATCGGCGAGTAGGTCCACCATGTTGCCGTCTGCTGGAGAAGAACGATAAACCGAAGATCCCCTTTGAAAACCCTAGTTCAACTTCTCTCGTTGATCGACTCTGGTGGATGTGGTAAATTCAATGGAAATCGAGGAAATAAAATAAAAAAACAAAATAGTTTTTATTGGATGGACTAAATTCCCTACAATATGTAACAATAAAAAGGAGACAACATTTTCACATCCTAGAAACACACAAAGCCAGGACAGGACACTAAACCCAAAAACTCAAAAGCATAATTAACCAAACTAAAACAAGTAAAGCAAAAACAAGCAACTCAGACTGACCAACCAAACCAATTCAATTCCTCAAAGCTCTTCATCACGGGTAAGATCATGACCATTTACAACGTTGTCTTTAATCTCCTTGGACTTCTCTTTGGCCGCCTCAAGGTTCGCTGCCACCGTATCCTTAGCCGACTCGTAAGCCTCCTCCGCTTTCTCCTTAGCCGTCTCGTATCCTTGCTGGGCCTTCTCCTTGGCCCAACCCGCATGCTCCTCCGCCTTCTCCTTGGCCCCACCCGCGTGCTCCCGGGCCTCGTCTTTTGCCGCCTGGCTCTTCTGGTAGGCTTCCCCTGCTTTTTCGGACGCCTTTCGTTTTGCCTCCTCCGTAGCTTCCACGGTCTTGTCTTTCACCTCCCCTGCCTTTTCAGACGCCTTTCGTTTTGCCTTCTCCGTAGCTTCCGCGGCCTCGTCTTTCGCCTCCCGCGCTTTTTCGGCTGCTCTATCCTTGACGTTGCCGGCATACTCTCCGGCTTCCCCTGCTTTCTCGGACGCCTTTTCTTTTGCCTCCTCCGTGGCTTCCGCCGCCTTGTCTTTCGCCTCCCGTGCTTTTTCGGCTGCTCTATCCTTGACGTTGCCGGCATATTCCCCGGCTCCTAAGTGTGTAATTCAAGAAATCCTTTCATTTCAAGTAATTTCTTACACTAAATAATTAAAAATAATAATAATAATTAATTACTACTTACCAGCAGTTGTATCAGTAATCCTGTCCTTGCTCTTCTTGGCAACATCCTCGGCAACCGAACCGGCATCATCGGATTCCTTAAACCCAAGGCCTTCCGATATCTTTTCTTTAGCCCATCCGGTCCACGACTCAGAGCCACCTTCCTTTTGGTTGTTCTTCACCGGCCGCACTATATCCTCCTCCACGGCTGCCACGGCAACTGCCGCCAGCGCCGCGGCCAGGACCACCGTCCAGAACACCCTTCTGCCGCCCATCCTCATGATCATCCCTCCGCCAGTTAGTGTTGTTGTTGAACGTTATTCGAACCTACGAACACGAGCACGAGCACTACTACTAAGGCTGCCAGCAGAAGCAAAACCCACATATGTGGCATCTATTGTATGCGAAGATTGTATTTCTATATTATTGGATTGGATTGGATTAGATTGGATTGGATTAGACTGGACAGGATTAGATGCTAAACAATATGAGAATTGATTTGTATATATAGATGGTGTAAGGTGGCGGTGGGTAAATATTTTATTGTTTACGCTTAGCAATGTGGCGGCACACGTGGCAGTTATATAGCATTGCTTGTTTCGTTCTCTTACACGTCTCGTTCGTTCCACTTTAACATTATCATCATCATCGACGCCTCATCGGCAACCGTCAATGCAAGAATGGGAAGTTTGTAGAAGAACGTGGGTGGGGCTGATTGGTATTGTTTAGTTTTATAAGGGATCGATCGATCGATGCTACTTCGCTGATTTTCTTAAGTGAAAAATTGTACAGGACATTACATATTTTTTTGTCAATTATATTGTGAATATGAATATCTAAATTGTTGGAATATTACGTGTGAGTTATCCCGTATTGATTCGATATGATCAGTGAGATGTTCCTCTCATCACCAACTGATTTTGAGATGACACATTACTAAAACTAGACTCACTCTCTTATGTTGCGCTTCACTGTGTAGGACCTTACTCCTGATGCCCCGATTATGAAAATTTAACATAATATCTTGATTCGGACCAATATTCTTGGAACCGTCCGGTGTCGGGATGTTTTCACGTATAACTTCTGAGGCTTAAATAATTTTTAGTCTAACGGTGTGAGGTCATGTTTTGGGATATTTGGCCCAAATCAAATCTTAATCTCAGGCCCAAAGATGTCTTGGCCCAATCCCTTTTGGGTGGCCCTCACACGCACTCAAGTGGTAAGGATGGCTCTGGACGTTAGATTTAGGATTAAATCCCTACCATCCATCTTGACTCTTAAATAATTTCTCATCTCTCTTGCCCTAAGACTGGTTTCACTTATCAACTCCTGCTGCTGTTAATCTCTATTACCCGATCTATCTCACGCTCTGTTCTTCATGACCTTCGAGTGTTAATGAGTGTGTCGCCACTGTCGCCTCCTCCTCTCTTCGATCACAGGCCTTTTGTGGTGCCTCGAGTGATTCCGTGTGCGGAGGAGAGGATGGGGGTCGGGCTAAGGCTTCCTATGACTCTTCATTTATATTCATCACCACCGTATTGATATAAAAAATCGTATAAATGCCAAGATATTGTTCAAAGTTTCGGATATTTATGATGAATAAAAGGATCAAGTATGAAGCCTATTTTTTATTGATATTTTGGGAGGATTTCTCTCCTCTTTTTGGGAGATTCCTCCCCCTAGAATAATTGTAGCCCAATATATATATTGCCATACATGTAGACAAGAAGAAATAAGAACAATATAATGAGGAATTTGCACAATATTGTGATGCACACATTGGTGATGTTAATATGTTTAAAAAAATACATCACCAATGTGTGCATGCAACATAAGCGGTGGACATATTAACATGTGTCCACCGGGTAGGGGAACATTACTCTATAGGATATGTATCTGTTGGTGGCAGGCAGGCTGTGATTTGAAACACGCCTTCGTCACTGCACCTGATCACTATACAGGATATCTGAAACTTTAGCAATATATTTACGATATACGTACATCTTATTTTATGATTAATATAGTTTATGATCAGTATACAATATATGTTAAATATATATAT